AGTACTAATCAAATTAACTATATAAATATATATTATTATTGTTGTTAACTAAATACTCAATAAGTAAATTAATAAATAATAAAAATTGCAGTAGAATAATAATAATAATAATGTATTTATTATTAAACTCAAATAATTTACTCAGAATAAGTATAAATTACAAACTGTACACAAATTACTATTACTAAATATAAACAAAATAAAACAAAATAAAATAAGGTAATTAAATTAAATTAAATAATTAATTAAAAATAAAATCCATTAAAATCAAATCAATTAAAAATAATAAAATGTAATTAAATGAAAAATTAAATAAAAATTAAATTAAATTAAACTAAATTAAATTAAGTGGCATTATCCATCTGCTAATGATAATGGTATTTTGTGCTGAAACTTCACATACACACTCCTCATCTTCTATGAAGGGTCATAATTGGTCTCCTTTAAAAGAAATCAAATGTAACGTGAGGGCAGATAATTGTTCCTTCAGGTGTCTCTGTGCTGCTGATAACTGCAGGTAAAGTGCTGCTCTGCTGTGCTGAAATGATCCTGCTCCTGCCATTAATCCTGTGACGGATCTGCACGGTTACACAGTGGACTGAAGACTGAAGCTGCTGCTAATGGAAAAGTTTATTAGTGTGTGACAAACAGCCTCGTTTACTGAGACACACCATCACACACACACCACTTTCTGTATAACCAGCAGAACACACACAAATTGAAGAAAATATCTAAAGATTAGCTGTAAATATGGCATTATAACTTCATAAATGCTAAAATCTGACTATGAGTTAACTAAAACAAAAACACATTTTCATCACTTAAAATATGTTAAATCAAATAAATAAATAAATAAACAAAATAAATAAAATAAATAAATCAATCAAACAAACAAATCAAATAAATAAATATATTCAATGGATCAAATAAATCAAATAAATAAATGAATCAAATAAATTAATTAAGTAAAATAAATAAAATAAAATAAATAAAATAAATACATTTAATAAATCAAATAAATCAAATTAACAAACAAACCAAATAAATAAATAAAATAAATAAATAAATAGAATAAATAAAATAAACAAACAAATAAAATAAATCTAATAAATAAATAAAATAAATAAATAAAACAAATAAATAATCTGTGTGGAGTTTGCATGTTCTCTCTGTGTTGGCGTGGGTTTCCTCTGGGTGCTTCGGTTTCCCCCACAGTCCAAACACATGCGCTATAGGCGAATTGATTAACTAAATTAGCCGTAGTGTGTGTGTGTGTGTGTGAATAAGCGTGTATAGGTGTTTCCCAGTACTAGGTTGCAGCTGGAAGGGCATCCGCTGTGTAAAACATATGCTGTAATAATAGGCGGTTCATTCAGCTGTGGTGCCTCGCTGATTAATAAAGGGACTAAGCAGAAAAGAAAATGAAGGAATGAACTATTTCTAATAATAAAAATAAGATCAAAATGAATGCCCTAACATGAAGATGCAAATAAAACTGCCAAAACTGAATAGAGGAGAGTGCGTGAAGGACACTGAAGCTGGTCTCACAGCACAGATCAGCAGAGTCCTGATCTGGCCATTAAACTCTATGAGGAGCCGTCCAGCCAATCACAGGCCAGCGTTTATCAGAGCCATGACGGCGACCCTGATCAAAAGCTGGAGGAATGAATCAAAGAGACACAAACTGAAGAGCAAACTGCAGGAAGATCCATCAGAGGAACAGAGGAGCGTGAATCACACACACACCTAAACTAAAACACAACCACAAACACTAGACAGACACTCACAAACACACTCAAACAGTCACTGACCAGTGGGCACCCAGGGGTCTGTGGAGGGCTTCTGTCTGCTGTTGATTTGCTCCCAGTCGAAGTCATCGTCTTTCCCTTGACTGAAGCCGCAGTCTGTGTACGATTTCTCCAGCAGACACTCATCTGTGCGGGACACACACACACACACACAAAGACATCAGTACAGATGAAGATGATGATCAAACAGCGGTGTGTGTGTGTAACAAAGATACTCTGAAGAGAAAACTTTACACTGAATTCTGAAGCTAAAACACACACACACACACACACACACACACACACACACACACACACACACACACACACACACACACACAAGCATAGACACCAGTGTACTCATGACAAAGATCATATAGTGGTTGGTGTGTGTGTGTGTGTGTGTGTAACAGTGAAATAAAAACTTTGAAACTGAAAAATAAAACACACACGCACGCACGCACGCACGCACGCACGCACGCACGCACGCACGCACGCACGCACACACACACACACACACACACACACACACACACACACACATTTCTGTGTGGAAAAAGCATTTCCTCTACCATTTCTGAATAATAAATTAATAAAAGTTGATTATTTTATAGATTTTAAAAGGACACAGAACAGCTCAAAATTTATATTTACATATTTATGTATTATAATTTTGCATATTTACACTATATTACAATATATACACTCACCGGCCACTTTATTAGGTACACCTGTTTAACTGCTGGTTAACATAAATGTTTAATCAGCCAATCACAGGGCAGCAGCTCACTGCATTTCGGCATGTAGACATGGTCAAGAGGATCTGCTGCAGTTCAGAGCGAGCATCAGAATGGGGAAGAAAGGGGATTTAAGAGACTTTGAACGTGGGGTGGTTGTTGCTGCCAGTTCTGAAGGCAAAAGTGGTCCAACCCAATGCTAAGGTGTACCTAATTAAGTGGCCAGTGAGTGTATATATAAATTCTGGCATGCATATAAATGCTTTATGTAAATGTATATATTATATATATGAAAATGTCTACATAATCAACATGCATTTAAATACCAGCTAATCACAATGTTACAGGATTTACAGGAGTTTTCCAAATCAATCTAATCGCTCATCATTGCACTGATAATGATCATTTGAACAGGTAATACTAATCGTCAGAAAACTCCAGCATGGTTTAGCAGGTATGTCAGATCTGTTTTGTGAACGCTCGGCTCTCAGCGGGAGCTTCTGCTAATATCAACACGCTGGAAGGCAGAATCACACGTCTCATGTTTTACGCAAATAAATCTCTCTTTTTAAAGCAGTGGAGAATCCGAGCAGGAATACGAGCGTCTGAGTTTATTTCGGGGTCTTTGACAAGTGTGTGACGCTGAGCTCGTCTCTCACAGCGCGCTTTTATTTTGACATCTCCGGCTTCCAGACGCTGCGTGTTTTACATGATCGACTACATCTGATGCTGTAATAAATAACTAGGGTGGATTTTTTCTGGCAGGCTGGATGTGAAGACTCTCACTGAGTGTTTTTCTGCACTATAAAGTCTGCAACACTGAAGTCGAGGGTTCGACTCCCGCTGAGCAAACATGGCTCCGACACGCCTGACAAATCAAAACACACCAACATCATCAAGCCTTTCTGTTCAGATCTCTGCTGGCCAAAAGAAAGAAGAGCAGGCTGTGTTGTCTGAAAGCGCCTGTAATCTCACCTGGGGCTCCTCTAGAAGCCGTCAGACGGAGCTGTCAGGATTCTAATACACCCCCAATATCAGAATCAAGCACTGAAGTTAACTTCTGCATTATTTCTTTCTTACTCATTTTCATTTGCTGCTTTTAAAGATCGACTTCTTTATTGTAATTCTACATTAATTATGAAATCAATTAATATATATTTGATTCAGAGCATTAACTGATTAAAGCAATTGTAAGTTTTATTTTGCTTTAAAAATGTTTTACTTATTAATTTCATCTAAACTCCCTGACAAAAGTCTTGTGGTGGATCTCGCATAATAACTGGTCTTCTAGTTGATGATGTGTGAAAGTGTCAGAAGGTGGATTTCTCTGCTGGATCATCTGCTGATCTGCATCCCAATCATCACCAATACTGCAGAAGACCTACTGGAACCAGCATGGACACAAGATTCTCACAGAAATCAGTCAAGTTTGGTGAAGGAGACATCATGGTTTGGGGTCATTCAGTATGGGGGCGTGTGAGAGATCTGCAACATCAACAGCCTGAGGTATCAAGACATCTGTGCTGCCCATTACATTACAAACCACAGGAGAGGGACAATTCTCCAGCAGGATAGCGCTCCTGCTCATACTTCAGCCTCCACATCAAAACTCCTGAAGGTCAAGCCGCTCCAGGATTGGCCAGCCCAGTCACCAGACATCAACATTATTGAGCTGATGAAGGAGGAGGTGTTGAAGATGAACACAAAGACTCTTGATGAACTCTGGGATCCTGCTGAAGCTTTCTTCTTTTTTAATTCCAGATGACTTTATGAATCAGTGATGTGAGTCATGTCAGAGATGTATGGATGCAGTCCTCCAAGCTCATGATGGAGTCAGACACAATATTCATTCTGTCTCCACTGCAGCAGGACTTTATATTCTATACTGGACATTATTGAAGGTTCAGTGATGACACTTTAGTCTGAGCAGAGTCAGAGCGCACTGTCCTCATCAAATCAGTCAACATCAAGACATGATCAGATTTATTGAGCTCAAATCAGCAAAATCTAGAGGCCTTCACCTTTCATAGAGACACTTCTGACACCAAATCAGCAACTAGAACAGCAGTTATTATTTGTGTTCCTAAAACTCAGATAGGTCATAAGCCTTTTGTCAGGTAGTGTATATGTGAAACTTTATAAGCAGTTCTAGAATAAATTAATATGTATTTGTTGCACACATTTAATCAATTAAAGAGAAGTAAATTTTTGAATTTAAAAATGTATAAGTGATTTTAAGACCATTATTATTATATCATTAACTATTGAAATTGTTGAGAAATTAATAAATCAGCACTTATTAGTTTCACACAATTGAATTAATTAAAAAGGAAACAAAAGCTAACTTGCACTTTTTGGTAACACTTTATTTTAAGTGTCCCTAACTACTATGTACTTACATCAAAAATAAATACAATGTGCTTACTGTGTTTATAATGTATTTGAGAACACTTGTGGTGCTTTTGAGTTGGAATAGAGGTTGGTTTATGAACAGGTTTGGTGGCATGAGTAGGTTTAAGGGTGGGTTAAGGTGTAAGGAATGGTCAACAGTGTATTTACAAATGCAATTACAAACGTTAACTACAGATGTAATTACATACATGTATTTAATCAAGCATAAGTACACAGTAAATGCATGTATTTACACAATAAGTACATTGTAACAAACTATTAATTCCTATGTAAGTACATATTAGTTAAGGCCACTCAATATAAAGTGGGACCCACTTTTTTTATAAAAACATGTGATTTTAAGCCCTTTTTTTATTTTTAGCTTTAGCTTTTGTATATCATTACAACTAAACTAGAAGCACATATTTATTTAAATTATTTTGTCATAGATATACATGTTGCACATAATTAAAAGATAATTAATACATATTATATAATAATACAAATATTTAAATTATTTCCTCATTTAAGCAAAAATGAAAAGTAATTAAATATTATTTTAGTAAGATTTATAATATGCAAAAATTAAAGTGTGCAGATATTTTAATCGTCACTAAAGCAAGTGCCTCAAACTGCCGGCCTGCGGGATATTTACAGCCTGCCCTCGTCCTCTCTCCGGCCAGCAACTGCCATCAAACTGCCCTTATATGAATGATCAGTCACTGAAATGGCCCTCCGCCAATTTGAGTTTGAGACCCCTGCTTTAAAGCAAGTCTTTATTAATGATATTTTACATTAAACTGTTGTGAAAAAGCACAGAAAGTGGTCTCAAGTCGTTCTAGAGATAATAAAGTGAAGCGTGACCTGCACGTGTTTGCGCAAGACTCGCACTTTATCATAACACTTTAATATTTGTCTACACAAATCTCTCAGCGTGCTGTCCAAACAGAGTCTGAATGAGCTGCTGTGTGCAAACCGTCCCAGAATGCAGCGCTGCCAGACCCCGAGTCCAGACAAGTGTGTGTGTGTGTGTGTGTGTGTGTGTATTAACTTAGCAAACAGACACTATAGCCTGTAAAATCCAGCGCTGGATGCTGAACTCTGATAATAAACATGTTTTAACTGATGCTTGATGCTCAACACATCTGAGTTGCCATGAAAGAGCGGCGATCGATGCTTTATTCTCTGCTCTGCTAACACAAAGATGAATATTTGAGCAGAAATCTGCCTTTTAACTCCAGACTCGAGCTGCATTTTTAAACGTAAGATCCAAACGCATGAGCGGAGTACAGCAGTTCAGCTCAGTGTTGTATTTTTAATGTGTGCTGCTGATGAAAATACTGTACAAAACACTGGATGCTCACCATTACTAATGCAGGGGAAATATGCCAGTTATGCGCTTCACACAGCTTCAACACAGCTTGCAGATTATTTGTTTATTATTAATATCAATCTCCATATTAAAAGGGTTTTTGAGGGTCGAACTAACAAAAGGTACTTTGAAGGTGCATTCACTCCTAATTAATGACTTTTATTAACAGAAATTCATGAAAAAAATGTAATATTAAACTAATATTGATGTTTATAAACCTTGACTGAAATCCTGATCTTTTAATGACAAATCAAGGTAAATACAAATCATCAAATGTACTTCAGACTAATATATATATATATATATATATATTTATATATACACACACATAAAATTGTTCAGGTTTTTAAATAAAAGCGTGTGTTAGTAACAAAAAAATTGAATACTTGTCATTTTAACTTAAACTGTAATAGAATAAAATATGATATAATAAATACTGTCGGACACAATGCAGAATAATATGATAGGTATATTTATCATATTAAACACATCAAATAATGTGTGATGACACAATGCATGACAATTAGGGGTGTAAAGCATCACGGTCCATCCATGATTTATACGCATCACAACCCATGATTCAGATCACGAGTGGCCCGGATTAATACTTTCTTTTTTACTTTAGATTAATCCTAAATGTGTAATGA